ATTGTTTTAATTCAGCTTCATTGGAGGGATTGGGGCCTGTTTAGGGTTATCGCACTGCATCGCAAACAGATTTAGATCAGGCCTTTGAACTGGCCATTAGTCCATAACCTTCTTTTTTTTTCTTTTGAGGCATTTAGAGGTGAAGATGCTTGTGTGCTTTGGTTCATCGTCCTGCTGCATAATCAAAATGCACATGAGTTATAGGTCATGAGCTTATGGTCTGACATTCTCCTTCAGGATTTTGTGGTGGAGAATAAAATCCATACTTCCATTAATTACAGTAATTCGCCGAGGTCCAGAAGCAGCAAAGCAGCCCCAGATCATTACACTACCACCATCGTGTTGGACTGTTGGTATGATGTTCTTATTGTGGAATGCTGTGTTAGCTTTATGCCAGATGTAATGAGATCCGTGTCATCCACTTTTGACTCATCAGTCCACAGAATATAATCCCAAAAGTCACTGAAGTCGTCAGGAAGTTTTTTTTTTTTTTTTTTTTTTTTTTGCAAATGGGAGAAGAGTCTTTGTGTTCTTTTTGGTCAGCAGTGGTTTCTGCCTTGGAACTCTCCCATGGATGCCATTTTTTCCCAGTCTCTCTTTTACCGTGGAATCATAAACACTGACCTTAACTAAGGCAAGTGAAACAAGCAGTTTTCTAGATGATGTTCTGGGTTCTTTTGTGACCTCCTGGATGAGTCGTCGATGCACTCTGGGAGGAATGTGGTAGGCTGGCCACTCCTGGGAAGGTTCACCACTGTTCCAAGTTTTCTCCATTTGTAGATAATGGCTCTCAGTGTGGTTGGCTGGAGTCAAAGAGCCTCAGAAACGGCTCTGTAACCCTTTTTAGACCGATAGATGTCAAAAACTTTGTTTCTTATCCCCCTCCCTTCCCCATTTTTGAAAATAAAAAATGTTGATCAAAAAAAAACTTTGTTTCTCATCTGTTCTTAAATTTCTGAAGATGAGCTGCTTTTTGCCGAATTCACATTTTCAAACAAGTTCTATTTGAGTGATGTCTAGTTCCAAGAGGGCTGACAGTAATCACACCTGGGTGTTTTTAGTGACATAGAGCTCAATTATTAATTACATTTGTTTCATTGGTTGATTAACTAAGGGAGCAATTAATTTTTTCACAAAAAATAGGGTAGGGTGGAAAACCTTTTTTCTTTTAATAAATGAAATCATTTAAAAACTGCATTTTGTGTTTTACTCGTGTCATTCTTGTCTGAAATTAAAATGAATCTGATGATCATGTGTAACAAATGCAAAAATAGTAGAAATTGGGAAGCCAGCAAATACTTTTTTTTTTTTTTTTTTTTTTTTTACAGCTCTGTAAAAGCTTGAGAACCCTCTGAAACAGCCTCCACAGAATAATTAGAAAATAGATGTTTTCTTTCTTGATCAGCTATGGCCTGTTTCACAAATCAGGATTACTGAGTTTGCTGGTTAATTGTCCAAAGTCTGGATCTCTGTAGCTACCTGGCTTACTCAGTAAACCTGCCTCATGGAATGACACCTCAATTTGCTCAGGGTTTTCTCGCATAAGCATTGCGGTGTAAAAGAACGAGATGCCTGCATTTTTTCAGATTGCGTCAGATGAAACCATGCACACTCCCATATGACAAAAGCCTAGATGCAACAGTGGCAAGAAGGGATCCCTGTTTTGTCAAAAACTTTCACCAGCTTCTGAAAATTTTCAATCATGCAAAAAAGGAGTAGAGTCAAAACTGGAAAGTGAGGGTTATGGTTAGAGGTAGGGGTAAGGTTAGACACTTCCTGCAGTACCCCTGACAAAAGTTGACAGCTCAGCAGTTACAATGGTCACAATAGCTTTAGTCGTACAAACGTGGGCGTGGTTCAATCTAAACTGGGTTGGGAAAACGATACAGGCGAATGAGAAAGAAGAGATTACATTGAAAAAAATTGTCAAATGCAGCGTTGTTTGCCTTGTGATCACAATGAGTTCTGTCAGCGCACTGCTCTTATTGGTCCTTTACTCCACACATGACCTTGTGCCCCCCAGCCACTACCCCTCCTCCACCCCCTACAGCGCCTCTTCTGTCACCATCCAGATGCGTATCGTCCCCGCTGGTACAGAACGTACCAAACTCTCCTCTCAGTCCACAGAGGGTGTTTAAATCACATTTACACGCAGCAGTCAGACAGAACAGAGGGGGGAACAAACAACCGCGCTTTTACATCTCCCTGGTGCCTGGATGTGCAGCGAGGCTAATCACTATCGATCGCCAGAGGAGAGAATCAACAGTTTTCCTTCTTCCTTTTAATTGTTTTGCTTTAATTTTTTCTGAGAGAAAGCCCCGGGGGTGATTCTCTCTTCTGTAATTAATTCATTTATCTACCCCTGTATTTCCATTCAGACAAGCTGGGCCAGAGCCAAGTTTGGCCACAGCATTGTACTGTTTGCTTGTGCGCAGCGGTACTGAAATTGGCAACGCTCTGATAATATGGTGTATCTGTTCATGTCAACCTCGCTCTTTAGCTCCACAGGAACTGTGCATGGCCTATGATTGGCCTTTTGATTTCTCCAGCCTCTGTTTTACCTCAGACGTTGGGACTGGGCTGCCCTTATGCTGGATGCAGGGATAGACAACGAGCTCTTGAGTTTTCATTCAGACTGCAAACACAGTTCCTGCAACTCTAATACCCTATCAATTGATTTGGTGGACATTACACTGTAGTGCTCTTCTAGGTTGCATAATGTTGATTATACAATACCGTACATGAAGCATACCTATTCGTAGGTCTTGCCAAATGAAGGAAACACTTCTCTAGTGACTAAGCTGGTGTGAAATGTGGAATTTTCATTAGAATGTGGTGAAGTTTGCTCAAAATAATGGCTAGCCTAAACTCTGAAAGTGTGGAGATCTGTTTTCTGGTAAAAAATGAAATTAAGTAGAATGTTCTTTAATCCATTTATATATGTCTAACACACATTACGCTAATCAATTCATCAACAGAACTGGTTGCTTACAATGAGAAGACAAGTGAAAAGATGAGAAGAGGCAATGTAGTGACAAAAAAAAGAAGAAAAAAACCAGGTGGAGCCATGATCAGCTGTCAAATCCCAACTCAGCAGAACCAGTCAAAAGTTGTGCTCTGTGCTGTAGCTCCACCCATTGTTGATGTCACAATACTCTATTCTCCCACCATTATCTCAGACCCAGCTTTCAAAAAACAAGCCACACTCTCTGACCCGCTGTTCCTTTCCTGTTTGGTCACAACGCTAATAATAGCCTGAACAGCTTGGCTTCAGCGCGTTTATCTGACCCGGTTACCTCTTTAACAGATGTGTCCAAAAGAGCTAAGCCGAAAATGTACAGTACACCATCCCCCTGGCGTAAACTCAGTGCTACAGAATGAAATGGTACATCTGATTCATGGACACAGAATCTGCTTGGACGTTATACAGTATGGAGTTGTGACTCTTTAAGCCACTGCATGTATGGTGTGGTGTGTAAGTATGAGGACAACGCTACAATAGCCTATATATAGGGCTGAAATTCCAACATAGGATACTGAGCTAAACGCCTGAAAACTAAAGCCAATCCATCCATTTTTTATTTCCTATGTACTATGGAAGTGTATGAGCAAAAAACAAAAAAAGTGTCTCTCTCATTTGTACGAACAAACCTCAGTTTCAGTCCCCTGTGACCCATGGTTATGTCTCCTGTTTTAATAATGCAGGGTCGGTGGACCCTGGGCGATTAAATCTGGATGCATCCTTGCGGATACATACACTCCAGATGAACTAGCTCATTTGTATGAACTGATTGATGTGAATTTCACACGTTTTCAGGGAAAGTGAAGCGCTGCATTGAGTTCATACATCACAGTGTTCGCACTTCCATTAGCTGAAGTTGCTAAGTTTTTCTTACACTTCCATCAAAGTGGAGATCACCCACAATATGCCTTAAGTATTACACAAAGGGTGGGAGGATAAATTGCTCGGCTAGATCAAGTGCTTATCCAGGGTAGGGTCAGGAGTAATCTTATCTGTTTCACTTGCTCACATCTACGCACAATCTGAAGTCTCCATTAAAGCTCATGTTTTTGCACTGTGGCCGGAAACCGGAGTACCAGCCCATAGCAGGATGCGGAGAGAACATGCAAACTCTGCACAATGCAGCCCCAGGCTAGATTTGGACCCACCGCCTTCCTGGCCGTGAGGTTACAGCGCTGCCCTGTGGGCTGGTGTGTCGTCCCGCGCGCGCCGTCTCTGCTTGGGAATTTCTGTGGCTGCCGCATTAGCCAAAAACCATGAAGTTCCAGGATCCCCTGTGACAGCAGGGCCTTTCGCTTGTGTTTTGGGGGGGATGGGTCTGAGAGGTCACATTGCTGGGGGGCGTGCTATTACCCTCCGGGGAGGTGGTTTTGATGGGACGTGTCGTTTCACCAGTTTCCGGAACAGTGCAGAAGCGCTGAACATCTGTTCCCAAATCCGCTGTAAATCTGCCGAGACAGGGACGGAAGCCCTTCTCCCAGATCCTGAATGTGTACTTTCTGTTAAATAATTGCAACCAAAAACATAAATGAATCTGTCATGCCATGGTGCATTTCCACTTTCAGAAACTGCTGAATCGTGCAGGAAGGGGTTTCAGAAGGGAGAGCTCGGGCCCACATTGCTTTTCTTCTGACAAGAGCCTTCACAGCAGCGATCACTGAATCCGGACCTCAAATCTAAATCCAGTGCTGCCCTCCTTCCATCTCAAATAATGAACCTATTTGATGAATAATATAAGATAAGATAAGATAAGATACATTTTATTGAACCAGTCCTCTGCATTTAACCTCTCCTATTATAGTTAGGAGCAGTGGGCAGCCACAGAGCAGCGCCTGGGGACCAACTCCAGTTCTGAAGCCAGTTCCTTGGTCAGGGACACTGGTTGGAGTGTTCCTATGATGCATGTGTTTGTGGGTGGGGGAAACCAGAGCACCTGGAGGATGCCCACGCGAACACGGGGACAAACTCTGCACAGAGAGGTCCCAGGCTGGGTTCCAACCCACGATCTTCTTGCTGCGAGGTGACAGTGCTAACCACTGCACCACCGTGCCCGCCTGCCTGCTTCTGATTGGCCAGACTGGCTTCACAGCTGACACCAAGGTAAAAAGCAGGGTGGAAAACCAGCAGTTCTTGGCCCTTGAGAATTGTAAGGGATTTTATGACCCCTTCTCAACAGTGCTCAAGTTGCATCAATACGGTCACTTCTGGCATTTGGAACTAAACTTCACTCCAGTTATTCTCAACCCTCTCTTCATGTAAGACCAGGTAAACGTGCTGTGTTATACATGCCGTTGTAGCATAACTAGTACATCTAATCATGGGCTTGACTAATTACAGCAGTACATCAGGTGTGCTTAAGGTGGAACATAACAAATACCAAAATCAGACTGCTGTGATCCAAGGAGAGGGTTTGAAACTGCTCTCCGGTTTTCAAAACTTTTGTATCTGCCAATGCACTTAGTTTTGTTTTTCCCTTTGGATAAGAACATCTGCTAATGTAATTTCACTCAGAAAGGGCATGTGCTCTGTGTCGGCTATAGCATGTACGATGCGGCTTTGAATCAAAGAAAGTATTTGCCACGTGTTGAGTACGGCACATGCGATCAGATTTTTGAAACAGGATTGGAAAGGCATGCACTGTGCTTTCGGTATGGCACAAGAGAAAGCCCTGCGTGCAGCTGGTCATGTTTCTTGCTTGTAAAACTGCTAGAGAGTTTGAGACATAGGCCTGAACAACTCATTTCATCACGCTCTCATGAAAGAGACGCATAAAGGAGATCCAAGATTTACCGCAAAGCTATGTTAAGTATTTTACTTATGTGCGCCGCCAATTTTTTCTGCAAGCAGCACAACCGATTATGATCGTTGCACGCCAAGTCTTATATTTTTAAAGCATGGCATGGGGTGTTGATTTGAAAAATATATAATGTGGCCTTGTAGTCCACATCTCGGTCAGCCAGCTGAAATTCTGTGGAGAAACTCAAGATCACGAAGCTCCAGAACTAGAGACAATGGCAGCCTGTGTAGATGCAGCTTACAAGCCCCTTCTTCTGAGGCAAAGAGCACTATTATCCCGTGGAGCCTTAAGGAACGCTATTTAGATAGGCAGCATGGTAGAAAAGCACTGTGTTTTATTACTTTTCCTGCATGCAATGACTGTATATAGGAAGAAAAGAGAAAAATTTTGTGCTGCTTTCCCTGTGTTCTGTTATAGGGTCACACTTTAGATGAAATGTTGCTCATAAAGGCTTTATACAGCATGTGTAATGCCTTCATAAATCATGCATAAGCAAATGTCTTGCTTTGTAAAGGGTGAAATAACACATCCTTATTCAGCATGTGATGCCAGATGTTACTATGACAATGTCACTTAGCTGACAATATCACCCTTTATAGCATTTAGCCACTAGCTAAGTGACACTGTCAGTTATATCACATCTGGCAAAACATGCTGAATAAGGATGTGTTATTTTATATGTATAATTTATGAAGACATTATGTCTCATTTATGAAGGCATTATACATGCTGTATGAAGCCTTTATGAGCAACACTTCATCTAAAGTGTGACATGTTATAGCATATACGAACCAGGGGTGCAGGAGAAATTTTTGATGTGTGTGCATGTGCGAGCGTGCGGGCGCGTGTGTGTGTGTGTGTGTAATTGTGTAAGGATGCATCTGTGTATATGTTTTATAGGCCAAGTTATTTAAATCTCTTAAATTTATGAACCCTCAAGTCAATATCTTTTTTAAAATTTCCTGATAACTAAATCAGAACCAATATTTGGGTTTTTTAAGTGAACAATAGGACCACCAAAAAATGAAAACAGAGAGAACAGCTTCTTAAGATTTTAGCAATCCATTCCAAAACCATTCAGCATCAAGAAATTAGTTGTGATATTGTTTTTTATCCGTCACAATTTTTTAGTGTCTGGCATCTACCAATTGTAAGCCAAAAACCAAAACATTTTGAGCCCAGTTATGACGGAACACAGCGTGCGCCAAACACAGTATGAAATAATGAATCAGTTATAAACTAACTGTAGTTTTTGTTTTAACAGGTTAATTCATCCAGTCCCAGGGCCCAGTTGCATAAAGCACCTTAAGTTAATATTTTCCGTAACTAATTTATTTCCTAATAAAATTGGTTGCACAAAACATTTTCCTTCTCATCCGTAACTTGTTCCCATTAGTATTTTAGATTTTCTCCTAACTTGGACTCAGTGCTTAAGGAATACCGTTTGGCGCAGGACAAAACACATTCGTAATCAAAAATAACTAAGCAAACAGGGCTGTTTAGAAAGCACAAACCTTGAAAACACAGACCTCAGACCTGAGACCTTGAAGAAAGAGACTTAGACAACACAGCCGGATACTGAAACCTAGTTGCCCAAGTCCATGTAACGTCCCCATCTGCATCAAGCGGATAGGCCTATGACCCACCTAGAAACATGGGCAGTGCGGCTCTGTATCTACGGCATTGACATCACATATTAGCATCCACAAAGGGATGCCCAAAAGTGCTGGTTCGTGATGTAGTGTGGAAATTTGAAGGCAAATAATGATCTTCTGCCTTCCTCCGACAGACAAAACATATCCTAATCATCCCTTTTACAGGAATAATGGTTTTATTATCTGAGCTCCTTGCTAACACAATACGGTAGCATAATGCTGCTCCCTCCCCCCCACGGGTGACCTAGATTGAAAGTAGAATGAAAAACGGTGCACAATCCTTGACAGAATCCCCTATTTCAAACTCATCGCAATAAAACAAACAAAAAAAAACTAGCCTGTGGCGTCAGAAACTTCAGTATGCCGGAATGCTGGTTTACAGGCTCAGTGTGAGTGCAAGCCTCGCTCTGGGCCTGGTAGAACCTAATTTTTCCCAAGACATTTTTTTCTTCAAAATATGGCCAGATTTTACAGTTGTGAAATTTGTTTACTGTAATTGTTTTTCGATGGTGCTATATATTGAAGTTGAAACTTGTAGGCCGAGTGCTTAAGGTCTGCGTGACTGCATTAAGTTGGAATCTCACTGGAGCAGAACTGAGTTACGGGACATGCAATACACATCTATTGATATAACAATGACAATTATATCTGTGACTGATATTGCCAACTTGTATTTTGAGTGCAGGTTCTTAGATAGAGGCCAGACTATTTGTACCTGAGGAATGTTTTCCCTTGTATGAAAGATCCTCGATGACATTTCCAGTTCTGGCGCAGCCACTGTATGCATGTCCAATCCCGATCATTTTCAATTTTTTTTTATTCATTTAGATGATGACAGATATGAGTTCTCTCAGTGCTCATAGGTTGTCTTCCTCCATAGTGCCGCGATAAACGTAAGAGGACAGGCGATAGCTCTTGAAACTACGGCTGATCTTGTAGAAACAGTCGCATATCCCGCTTAACCTAACTTTAGTTACGATTGTGTTCTCGCTCTCTCTTTGTTTATGTTTGTGCCTGGGTGAATAAATGTAGCTAGCTGGGCTATAGGTTTTACCATGTTACAAAATTTATATGAAAGAGGACCTATCATGCTTCTTTGGAAGACACAAAGTTGTGGCCCCATTTTATTTTCAAGGAAAATCTGTACCTAGCTGGCTAGTTAGGTAAGTGTTTCCAATTTCAGTTAATATTTAAACTGAATTCCAAGCGATACTTGCTTGCTACTAAATTGACTGTGAATTTTGAGACCATCGCTGGTTTAGCCAGAGGCATTGTCGAGGACACGTTGATAAGCACAGCGTAGCGAGACACTAGAAAAACAGGCAAAGACTATGCGGGAGGCTGGGTCAAAACCAGCCTGCAGGGCGGAAAGTTTATTTCAATTTTCTCCAGCACAAAAAAAGTGCATAAATAGCACAAATAATAATGGCATTCAATATGTGGTTATTTGAACAAAAAACAAAACAAAACAAAAAGAGACGTAGGTGCCTTTTTTCCGGGAGGTGGGCGTCGCTTTACCGCCCGGATCGGAAACTGCTTTTCAGAAGCGTGCTTAGTGTATCGCCGTCTTGATAAGACCTAGCGTTTTTCTGCCCAACTGCCCAGTCTCCCCATCATCGGGATCTTAAAGGAGAAAAAATAGACACGGTTAGTTAAAGCTAGACTATGCAATCTTGGAACAGTGAGCAAGATTTGAATGTAGCCTCACCTCTAATCCCACCCCTCCCCTCAAGTCTCTGACCAAAGCCACGCCCCCTGATTCATTGCTTCGGTAAAACTCCAGAGGCCGGACGTAGACCACTGATCAGTACTTAAAAAAATCTGGATAGCTCATTGGCCAATACGCACCATACAAACAACTGAAGCTGCCTCACGGCCATGTTTCCACTCCCAAAAGTATGTGGACGGTCAATGGCATACGTATTAATCCGTGTCTGTAACATTCTATTCTTCATTACCCGTCCTCATTTTCTCCTTTTTTTTCTTATTCCGTTGTGACCTTTTAAATCGCTGGTATGTATTTTATTTTGTGATCATACCAACTTGTAATATTGGGTCAATCCATGCCACTCACTTGGTTTTTTCCCGGACCCTCTCAGATTTTAATGAAATTTGGTGTACTTGGGGGTTATCCTGAGAAATTAATGCATGCCAATTTTCAGCTCATTGCGATCACTTATATGGGAGCTAGAGCACTTCGAAGATTTGATGGATTTTAGAAACCTTCTGACTCTAGACACAAAATTGGCCATAACCCATATAAAAATGATCAAATTTATACAAAATTTGGTATCGTTGGAAAGAGGAGAAAATTCTCTTTCAAATGATATGCAACACATTGACCTTTTGATATTGGTCATCTTTTAGGTCAAGTCACATGACTTTGACCTTTGACCCAATTTTTCGGGAGGTACCACACTTTCGATTTTCTTGAAACTCGTTGCATAGGTAGAGTGTGATCTAAACAGACGTCCTGCAAAATTTCATTTATGAATTGTGAATTTATTTTTTCCTATCTTAATTTAACAAATACTATAAGTAGGCATATAATATATAATACATGGTGAACTGAAAACACTAACTCGACAGCACTGAGATG